TCATTAAATCTGCTACGAAGCTCTTCCAATTGAAAATCTATCGTCGCATTGAATACATCATAGTGATAATGATGTTCAACTGTTGTGGGAAACTTCTGTTGGCAAAAACGTCCTCTAGAAGATCGATGACAAGCACTCATATCCGGTATCTCAATGTCATTTTCTTCACAAAATGTTTTCACGTATTTAAGAAGAGTATCGAAGCCATCTTCTCTAAGAGTACCAAGCAAAGATTTTGTAGTTGACACACAATCCATTGCGCTTAAAATATCCAAGGACTTCTCTTGCAAAGATTGACAAAGCAAATCTGTGATCGCCATAATCTTGTGCATCAAAAATAAGATAAATACGAAATCAAATGATCTCATCGCAATTAAAGCACCAGCAGCTTCCCCACGTATAGAATTAGAAGATGCTTCCTCCGTCATATGCTCAAGCACGATAATCACAGAACGATACATATCTATCATACTGCAAATGGACTCAAAATGGGAACTCCAACGTGTTTTTCCAGCTAGTTGCAAAGTTGTAGTTTGGTTAAGTCCTTTACCTATTTCACATAAAACAAATAAAAAAGTTAAATAAAAATTCAATGTAATCACAAATTAATGGTGATTAAATAACAAAATAAGAAAGCAATTGTAACCGTGTCACGAATACCGAGGGCTACCATATTTGCAACTTCAATAGCTTGAGCGGATTGTAACTCACTATGACGTTTTGGCGATGCTTTAATGAGATTACAAATTGACGTCAATTTTGAAAAAAATAGCCAAATAGAGCTTTCTTTTTCAGCCGCGGCCACTAATGCCAACTGAAGTCTATGTGCGAAACAATGTACATAATATGCTTGTGGAGAGTCCTTTATGAAAAGAGCTTGTAAACCATTCCACGATCCACGCATATTGCTAGCTCCATCATATCCTTGACCTCGAATATCTTTGAGATGCAACTCATATCGACCAAGCACATTAGATACCTCATTCTTAAGTGTCAAGGCAGTGGTATTAGGTACGTGCACAATATGAAAGAATCGCTCTTTTAAGAAACCATCACGATCAACAAACCTTAAGACAATAGCCATTTGTTCTTTGTCTGATATGTCTTTAGCTTCATCAACTAAGAGACAAAACTTTGAACTTCCAATTTCTTCACGAATCTTTCTCCTCACTCTCTCACCGAAAATATGCAAAATATCTTTTTGAATATCCGGTGATGTATACTTTGCATTTCCCGGTGCATTTTCTAAAACAACATTTTTAACATTGACATCCGTTTTGCCCATAAGCTTTATAAGCTCAATAAGATTACCTTGATTCTTTGAAGATGATGATTCATCATGTCCTCTCAATGCACATCCTTGCAAACAAAGCCAACGAATGCTTTTGTAGCGGTAAGTCTCAAACGATTATTTTTCACTTCCTCTGATGTATGTGCATTCATCACTTTATCGATGTGACCACTTGCATTCATTAAAAGGCCCATGGATTGCACAGCATTATTATGTGGTGATGTAGGGCTTCCGACATGACCCAAAAATGCGCATCTTTTGCCATCGTTAACTCTTTTCCAACTATTAAATCCACTAATTGTAAAAGCATGATAACGGGCCTCTTTTTCTTGAAAAATGAAACAAGGAAAACAAAACGCCGCATCTTCCTTTGGTGAATACTCTATCCACGGAAATTTCTCGTACCAACGTTTTTGAAAGCTTCGGTATTGATCTCCGATTTGCCTTTGCGGAAACTCCATAATAGGTTGATACGGTCCCCTCAAGATATAAGACCGCCTAATTGCATCTCGTTCATTTATCGGACATTGCCATATTGGAATACGCGTAGCCGGATCAAGTAAAACATAGTCGCTAACATCAACATCTACCCTTTGATACTTAGCCGTATGTTGATTTTCGAACTCATTTTGGGTTGATGTTTCCGCACTAAAGTGAGAAGAATCCTTCGTAGTCGATTTGGGCTTGAAAAATGAGAGCATAGTTTTCTTCTTCTTTATATGGGCATCCATTTGAAAAATCAACCTAAAACATCATCAAATGGACCACAAATTAAAACAAAACAAAATGAGCAAAAAATGTAAAAACGTTGTGCCGCCCAAAATTATTAGTAATCTATAATTATTAAGTCAATGACCTCAGCTCCTTAGTATCTTTTGACATCATCCCATCCAACTTGTTCTCTGACATCCTTAATACAACCAAAAACTACTCTGTCTAATATTATAGTGACAGTATCAATGTATCATACCACCCCATAGAACTGACCAAAACCAATTTGAGGAAAAAGCTCAAAATCAAAACTTTGTTTGAAGAATACATGCCCAAACTTCACATTACTCGGAGAAAACAGTCTCCCCCCAGTCTTGACATCAGTCGGAGAAAATAAAAAAACTTGCCAATAAAAATTACACAGCTATGAGACTCACAAAGCAAAAAAGGGTGATTTGTCGAAGAAAATTGATAAAATTAAAAAGGGCCCATCAGAAAATAAGCAAGATATGTAGATAACATGAATAGAAACAGTCTTTTCAACTAGAACCCACATGAAAAAGATCAAATCTTGAGCTGTAAATTTTCGTAAAAGTGAAGAATAGACGAAGGTATTAATAATGCATAATAAGTAATTAAATATCATTAGCATTAGCAATTTAGCACCTAACCTGAGAGTAAAAATTAGGGTAAAATTAGGCAAAATTAGGATTAGTAATCTATAGTTATCAATAATCAATAATAGTACATCAAATAGCATTAAACATGTGAGGCTGAAAGAATGACAATTAGGGCGAAATTCAAATAAGCAAGATTTCATAACATGAAATTACAGACTTTTGTCTAACATAAAAAAGTAAATTAGACAAACTTGAGAGGGGAAAGAGGTGGCCACTAACCACCGGAATTTGCTCGAGCGGACGCCGGACAGAGCAGACGGACGGTGAGGGGAAAAAAGAGCCCTCGTTTCGTTTTTAACCTGAAACTGATAGATGCGAGAACGAGGACGCAAGAGGTAAGCTAGACGGCAACGTGAGACTCGCGAGAAGGGCCCGACGGGGACGACCGGTCTCTCGTTATCTCCTTGTGAAAAATTAAAAAATCTTTTCTTGTTTGTCGACTGTCGTCTCTCGAGCAGATGAATGTGTGTGGCTTATTGTGAAAATCAGCTTGTTGGGCACAGGGCACGCTTATTATTGGACTGAAAGTGTAGTTTTTTTCTTTTTTTTTTTTAAGGCTTTTGATGGAATTTGATTCTCTCTCAATTTCTAAGGNCGGGCTAATATTTTTTTTTTTTTTAATTTTTTAAGTAGGGCGGGCTCCAGCCCACCTCAGCCATCATGGTGGCTCCGCCCCTGATTGTATACATTGCAATATAATAATGAAACATCTTTCTCAACTTTAATCTGAAGTAAGTTAAGTGTTTGATAATTTTAGGAAAAGTTTATCTTTGGAAATAATTGTAAATATATCATGGACAAATATTTTATTGCATTTGTACCAACTACATGACAATTAATTGAAAAAATGCTAAGATTTAGTTACCAAACTGAAATGTGAACGGCTCCTTGATTTGTGGAGGCCATATCCAATGCCTCTCTCTCTCTCCTTGCATATATACACATGATAAGTCAACCTCTCCTATTAATTAGGATTTTGTTCAATACAAATAGGAAAGATAATGAATTTGAATTATAAATGACTTTTTATACACAAATCCCATAATATTGAAAACCTATTTCGCCAAACACGCGTATATTTCGACAATTTCTTGTTTAATTTTTAAATCGCATCATGTTAATAGTGTATATTAAACGTATATTAAACGTTATATTCAGTATATGTTGCAATAATCTTCTATTATACCAAAACAACAAATTGCTGAAGGCAATCAGATAAAATTATGTATATTAACAGTATATAAAACAAGTTGAAATCGTACTCATGTACATATACTAAAAATATACTGTCAACCTTAACATATACTCAAAAACAGTATATTTGTCGGGAACATATACAGAAGATATACTCATTGTATATGGTTGGCATAAAAGAAAATACACAGCCGATATATAGAGAATAAATCAATGTTGTCATTATATACAGAATATATACATAAGATATACAAAAAACACATTCGGCCACGCTCGGCCAAAAATCATATCCAACGACCGTCATAGCCACAACGACGCGGCCTCCGACTGTCAGCCACAATGACCCGACCACCACCACAGACCACCACGTTCTCTTCTCTTTAGTTTTTTCTTCTCTTTTTCTTTTTGTTGATTTGATCGCGGGACCTCTCTGAGCCCGCCTTCAATAGAGCCAGCCTGCGTCCAACTCAGCATTGATCCTCATAATACATCTCGAACGATAATAATCAACGCACAATAATAATGAAGTCGAAGCAGATGTCACTTCTTGATGAGATAAAATTTGGAAAAATTAAAATGAAAAATCTCATTTGCTGTTAACGAAACACAAAAATTCATTCGTGTCGAAATTTGAGCGATTAAACTATGACATTAATAAAGGAAGCACCTGATTGAGAGTCTTCATGGTATTTTGGGGTTGATCGCTTTAAGATAGTTGGAACGCAGGGATTGAAATAAGTTTCTTATGTCTTGGAGTTAAAGAGAAAATTTATTTAGCCACATGTATAGTTGGGCCTGTAACTTGAGCCGAAATTGTGGGTTTGAGCCCGATGTTAATCCTTTCCCGGCGACGCATAGCATTGGTAAGAAGAGGAAGAAAAATTGTACCCAAAAGAAGAAGAAGAAGAAGAAGAAAAGAAGAGAGAGAGAGAGACTGCGTGAGATGAAAAATGAATCCCATTAAATTTGGAAGGTGATAAGTCACCTTTAATTACGATGACTTAATTATCTGGTAATTTTGCAATTATAAAGGTGAGATCTTGTATATTTGCTAATATCTGTAATGGAGTTTCATTTATGTAATTAAAACTGATATATATTGTAGAGTGTGCAATTTTCTCATAATTTTACTTTCTATTCATTTGCCAGGTTGGTTGAGCCCAAGGTTGAGTGCGGACCAAAATGTGGATGTGGGCCTAGTTGTGTCAATCGGACCAGCCAACATGGGCCTAGGTTTCGATTTGAGGTGTGTACAGACATTCATTCTTTCTTTATCATTCTTTTGACATGAACAATGTTTATATGTGCTTACCAATACATGTTGATATTGTCAGGTCTTTAAGACTCCGAAAAAGGGTTGGGGTGTCAGATCATGGGATTACATTCCCTCTGGTGCTCATATATGTGAATATATAGGCCTCCTTAGGCGCACTGCAGATTTGGACCCTTCAGCAGATAACAGCTATGTCTTTGACATATATAGATTGCATTCAGACAATGAAAGGTCTGGATGGACGAGAGGTGTGTACGCTGTTTGTTCTGATTATGTTTTTTTTTTTTTTTTTCCNTCCATGCTACTATTTACAAGATATAAAATTCATTGACATATTTTCCGACTTCTCTACTTGGTATTTGCTTCTGCCAGCGCGATCATTTCTTAAACAAAGCTCATTTTCCTAGTGATATTACTGTTTCAATGGAGAGCTTCTTCCCCCTTATTTCCTTTATATTTTATCCATTTTAAATGGTTGAATTCAGCTGCTGAAATTTATCAACTGCAAATTGCGAGTGAAGTGAGTTTATGTCGTAGAAGGTGGATGAACTCTGCCATAAGTGAGTTTATGTTGTCTTTTTCACCTCTGTTCACTGGGATGGGCTCACCCTTTTCCAAAGGGGTGTGTACAGACTTTTTTCTGGGGACCATAATCCTGCTTAAGTTTCTTTTTTCTTTCCATCTCAAGCCTTTGTTTCTGTCTTCGGGTCTATTTTAACTTGTTTGGAGTCTTTTGGAGGGTTTCCGTTGCACATCTATTAACTTTTCAGTTTCAGACATACAAAAATGATCCAACATCTTGATTGAGGACTATTACCATCCCACACTTATACATAATAACTGATCAGTAACTAATTAGTGTAAGACAATTAGACAAACATAATTTGCTTTCTTTTTGTTGGCCTTTCTTCTAAATTGGGTATTTTTATGTTTGGTACTAAAATTTTCATTTTCACTACAGAGCCGGCTTGCTGATATGTCGTTGCCATCTCACTTTCTAAAGTTTAATGAAGAGGCATCTGAAAATGTTCCATTTTGTATTGATGCCGGCAAAACGGGCAATTTCGCTCGATTCATAAACCACAGCTGTCAACCTAACCTATTTGTCCAATGCATGCTCTCGAGTCACCACGATCTAAAGCAAGCCCGGATTATGCTGATTGCAGCCCACAACATACCGCCACTGAAGGTGCCTTTCTCTTCCTCCTTTACATGCCTGTGTGATTATTAGCCATTGCATGGTGATCAATAATACTTCATCTAATTGACAATGGGAAGGCCTTTCTTCTTCT